ACCCCTCTCTCCATAGGTACTCCAGGACGGAGCCCCACAGCATCTGAGCAGCTCTTTTATCTTGGAATTGCCCTCAGCTCCTGCAAATGACTAAAACTTTTTTAAGCAGCCTCTTTGCATAAGGACTCTTGGCCTCAGGGAACCCCAGCTGGTATAAATTGACTTCAAAGGATTTACATCAGCAGCAGATACATCCTCCTGTCTTTATTTTGCCTGTGATGCACCAGGAACACCTCTGCTGCTGTACTCCAAAGGGGAATAGGAACAGGAATAACAGCAGGATTTATCACTGGAGCCAGTCCGGGACTGAAAAGGCCAAGAACTGTCTGTCCTTCTTCATGGCTTTCCCTAAGAGAGAAATAGAGTTGCTCCTTCCATAAAGAGCCAGAAGAGTGGGAATTTCCATACTGAAGCACTGGGGACATTTCCCCATTCCCATCTGAGTCATACCATAGAATCATGGAATAGTTTGGGTTGGAAGGCACCTTGAAGCTCATCCTGTTCCACCCCCTGCCATGGGCAGGGACATCTTCCACTAGACCAGGTTGCTCCAAGCCCTGTCCAACCTGGCCGTGGACACTTCCAAGGATGGGGCAGCCACAGCTTCTCTGGGCAACATGTGCCAGGGCCTCACCACCCTCACAGCCAAGAATTCCTTCCCAATATCCCATCTAACCCTGCCCTCTGGCAGTGGGAAGCCATTCCCCCTTGTCCTGTCCCTGCAGGCCCTTGTCCCAAGTCCCTCTCCATCTCTCTTGGAGCCCCCTTAGGCACTGGAAGGCCACAGTAAGGTCACCCTGTATCACACACAGTGAGCCCAGAGCCAGAGCCCTCCCAATGCAGTTGGGTTCCTACATCTGACAAATTCTATCTTAAATTAGGCCAAAGTTTCTTCTTCTGCCCCACACTCCAGTGAAGGAGTAAATACAAATATTGCAACTTCTGGTGGAGAAAAATCCTAAGCAGTGAGGGTTTGGTGTGGGCAGGCAAGAGGGGAACTGTGAGTGAACTTTCCCAATGGTAATCAAGGAAATTACCGCCCGCACGCATGACTGGAAAGCTGGAAAGAAACTGTGGATTCCCTCAACCAGAGGATGCCTGGGATAGGGTCACTGCTGGTAATCAAAGAATGATTCAATTCTTGTAGACCTAATTTGGTGCAGATGACTTCTGCAGTTACTTCAGAGCATGCAAAACAGGAAAGCTCCATGCAATGCTGTGGCTGTTTCTCACACAACCCTCCAGATGGTTCCAGAGTGTGGTGACTCGCTGGGAAGGTCGGCTGTGTGTCTTTGGATATGGAAAATTGCAGTTGGGCTTTCTCTTATTTCCATTATCTGCACTCTTCTCATCAGCTGATTGTGTTAATTACATGGTCCTGTGGTTGGAGTTTCGGGTAGAGGGAAGGGAGCACTGAGCCCTTTTCCTGATTTTAATTCTTTTTAAGGGAAGCACCCTTAAAAGCCATTCCCTCCTGTGTCCACCCTTGTGCATGCATGTGCCTCAGTTCCCATCTGTGCAGCAAGGCTATCAGTGCTAAATTCCTTTGGAAAAGGCACTGAGATGATTATTAATAATGAAAATCGCAGCACAGGTCCACATGCTCCTGATGGGCATTACCGTAATTGCCCATGTTGCTGATGGGCATTACCATAATTATGAGGGGAGAGCATGAGCTCTCTGAAGCCCGATCCCTGTGTTTGCCTGGCATGGAGCAGTTGGCATTTTCTCATCACTACCTGCAATCTGTTTGTTTTACCCTTTGCTGTCGCATCGATTTAAGGACCTGATCGTTACAGAGGTTTGCTCGTGACATCAGCCATTGATCCCTGCAGAGGCAGCAAACTGCTTGCTCCGTGCAGGCAAGTGGTAGAGCACTTGCCAGGGCATCCTGACATCAAGGGTAGCTCAGGAAAAATCCCAAATACACCCCATGAGCAGTGAAGACAGCCGGCATGCCTTGGTCCATGCTGGACTGTATGTTTTTGAAAGGGCATCATGTTATTAAGTAAATCTTGCTTAGGTGCCAGCATCGTTCAGATGGCAAATCATAATAAACTTTGCAAATCCTGTGAGAATTCCCACAGCTCCGTGGGTGTCTCAGCTGGGTTTGGCCCTGATAGTTCTTCTAGCAGTGCTTTGATTCTGCTGCCTGTGTTTATAAAAGGTTGCTGATTAAAAGTCTGGAAAAGTGAAGGAGATTAAGGCTGTTGGAGGAGCTGTGGGGGACAGATTCCCTGTTACAGATCGGATATGAGGATCCTGAGGTCGTTTATCTGTCCTCATCTCTGCTGCAGATGGCTTGGGTGACCTTGTGCAGACCATTTAATTGCTCTGTGCTGCTGTGAAAAGGGAGCAGCTGCCCTTTTTGTGCTTTATGGAGCCAGTTGTGAGGTAAAGGCATTTTTATCAGATGTTTGTCCATCACTTGGGATCATTTAACTGAAAGGAGTGATTGTATAGAAAACCCGACTGATTCAGCGGTGCTTAAAAGTCATTTGTGTGATCATCTGATTATGATGTTTTCCTTGTAAAGATAAAGGCCTCGATCCAGAGAGTGTTTCAGCACATGCTTGGCTGTCAGGCTGTGGGAGTGCTCACGTGTCACTGGCTGGTGCTTGTGACCAGTGAAAATACGTCACTGTGAGGAGTGATGGGGTCAGAGCCCTCCTCCCCTCCCATGACCTTTCTCTGCCTTGGTTTTCATCCTTGCTACCACTCATCCTCCAGCACTAAGGCTCCTCTTGGGAGTTTCAAAAACACTTTTGTCCCTCTTGGTTGGCATTGAGTGTAGAGGAGACCCTGTGAGCCAAAGCCCATGGCCCAGTGCTGTGGAATGTCCTCCTGAGCAGCCAGCATCCTTCACATCCTCCTCCTGCCCATATCCCATGAGATATTCACCTTCACATCCTGTTCCTTCTTGTATCACGAGACAATATTTAAGCTGTTTGAGTAACCTGGAAAGTGAGGCCTCACTGTGTGACATTGAGAGTAGGTTTGGATTAGAGATTGGGAGGGAATTCTGGGCTGTGAGGGTGGGGAGGCCCTGGCACAGGTTACCCAGAGAAGCTGTGGCTGCCCCATCCCTGGGAGAGTTCAAGGCCAGGTTGGATAGGGCGTGGAGCAACTTGGTGTAGTGGAAGATGTCCCTGTCCATGGCAGGGGGTGGAATGAGATGAGCTTTAAGATCCTTCCCAATCCAAATCATTCCATGATTCTACGACACTGGCAGGGCAAGGCAGAGAATGCTGCAAGAGAATCATGGAATCATAGAATGGTTTGGGTTGGAAGGGGACCTTGAAGATCATCCAGTTTCAACCCCCTTGCTGTGGGCAGGGACACCTTCCACTATCCCAGGTTGCTCCACGCCCTGTCCAACCTGGCCTTGGAGACTGCCAGGGATGGGGCAGCCACAGCTCTTCTGGACAACTTGTGCTAGGGCCTCCCCATTCTCACAGGGAAGAATTTTTTCCTGATGGGAAAATAGTTAAAATTTCGTGAGAGGAGAGAGCAGGGATGATGATGGCAGTGTCCCCAGCAGGTAACACCCCATCTTTGGTCTGCACAGACAGCCACAGGGTAAAAGGGAGGTACCATCAGCTTCCCACCTCTGATAATAATGAATTTAAGGAGAGAAGAAGATGGGTCACAGCTTCCTTTGCTCCATGTGCTTCTTGTAGCTGAAGGCTGAGCTGGAGTCCCATCTGGATGTTCTGGAGCCATGCCTTCTCCAGCCTGGGCAAACAGGGAGCAGGGACCAGGGGCACAGGCTGCCCCCATGCCCCACATGTCCCACAGCACATGAGGAAGCCTCGTGCCATCCTGCCAAGCCAGGCTGGTAGCAGTGAAGGTGGCTAGAGATAGAAAAACAACTCAGAGCAAAGATGGCCCTTTTATTTTGGGAATCCTGGGCACTGTTGTGCGGAGTGTTCCAGGCAGAAATCACCAAGGACATCCTGGAGCAGCAGGAGAGCTGCACATCCCAGTGATTCCATGCTGGGGGCTGTGTCACACGCACAGCACAATGGGCTTTTCTTTTGATTCCATGCTAAAAGGACAGCTCCAGCTTCCTAATAAAGGGATTGCTTTTCAGTTTGAAACGAAAATTGTAGAAATCATTAAATCTTGAAGTTTAGATTGTGACTCACAGAATGGTTAGGGTTGGAGGAGACTTTAAAGCTCATCTCGTTCCACCCCCCTGCCATGGGCAGGGACACTTACAAGAATATATTCTTGTGAGGAAGAATTTATGAATTGCATTTGTTATAGATTTAAGGTTATTATTAGTTTATACCTCTTACCTGGAAGATATTTCCAGTTTGTAAGGGTACATTTTGCTATGCTGTTACATTTTGCCCTTTACCTCATAGGAGAAAAAAAATGATCCCACTGAAAATGTGAAAATGATGCTTTTAAAAATCCATATAGGAGTACCTGCTTTGAAAATCAGTCTCTGTAAGGATGAGGATTAAACAAAGCAGGAATGGAGAAGAGATTGCTGCCTACTTTTGCCTTATTTAAATATTCCCCGAGCTTCCTCCATTTTAATCTCCCTTAAAAAGATGGCTGTTACTAAAGCTGGCAGCCCCTCCGAAAGCAGCATCATTTTTCTGGCGTGATGTTCAGCTGAGCGAGCCTAATGTGGAGTGGGGACCCCCTTCAGCCAACTGAGCAACCGGGATGATTCCCAATTCCCCAGTGCTTCCAGCCATCCGGCTGAATCCACTCGGATCTGTCCTCGCTCCTTTGTGCAATCCCTGATTTCATTCCTCTCTCCTGCGAGCACATCCACCCACGGGCAGGCTCGGCAAGGATGCGATGCCAGGCTTGGCTTTGTCTGGGATTAGCAGCTGCTGGGCTTTGGGGGATCGCTGGCTTTGCTGAACGCTGATTTTTTTCCTGGACTGGGGAAGGGGGTGTCCGTGTTCCCAAGGAGCTCTCCTGTCTGACCGGTGATTTCTCCAGGAGGATTTGTGGACGGTAGCGAGGAGTTTTCCAAAATGCCTGAAGCAAACTATTTGTTATCTGTATCTTGGGGTTACATTAAGGTGGGTTTAATTCCTGAAGGACTATTAATGGCTAGTTCGTTTTGTGCTGTGTTGCTTGGATAAAACCTCTATCAGGAAAAAAATGCTTTTTAAATGGTTATTTGTGTGTATTTTGGCAAGAGCTTGACATGTGTGTAGCGTGCATGCAGAGTACATGTATGGAATTTTTTTATCCCTTTGGGAATTCAGTGTTGCAGGATAAAATGATGCAGCAATGAAAATGTTTGATTATAAAATCAGGAGGATTATAGCATGTGTATGTGGGGGAATAATGTCTGAATCCTACATTTTACTGTAACGAGCTGAGCAGATCTTCAGATTTATGGCATATTTCTCCTCTGGATATGCAGTCGTCTTTTCCTTGCATAATACAAAATGGAGAAAACTTACAAAATCCAGAACAGGAGAAGGTTATAGGATGGAGAATTCTAACCCCGACAAGAATTTGAGCTTTCAGAGCTGAAACGTTATTTCCTCATTTGTGACAGTAACAACTAATGTGCATCTTTGGAGGAAATTAATGGTGTAGTTTAGTGGATTGAAAAGAAATATCCAGTCATGATGATGCTGAACAGTATCTAAATGAAACCAAACCATGGCTCTGACTCCATTCCAAATATTCCCAGAATATTGCTTTTAATATCTTGTCTGTGGACTCGCCTGTGCTAACATTGGGTTGATTTGGGAAAGGATTCAGAAAAATGCCATCTTTGTCTGTGCTCTTCCCCTCCCAGTTCAAGAGGATGCTGAACCGGGAGCTGACACACCTCTCCGAGATGAGCCGCTCCGGCAACCAGGTGTCTGAGTACATTTCCAACACTTTCCTGGGTAAGGAATCACATCCCAAGCTTTCGGGTGACTCAGAGAAAGATTAATGGCAACCTAATCACTGTTTGTGCCCAGCTTTCCTTTGGGGCAGAGCATTACTGAAATATGCTGGGTTTTTCACTTTCAAATAGATATGGGGAGGAAAATGATAGTGTTTGAGTAAGTCTATTCACAGAGGAATTCCTTCTCTAAACCATTGGATTTTGCTGTGCAGATTGAATGAGGCAGTTGGTAGCTGCTTTATGCAATACTTGATTTTTGTGTTGACCTTATGTAAAGGACAAAGTCACACGAGCCCAACTTGCAACTACTGCCTCGTTCAGCTGCATCTTCCCCTTCAGAGACAGGGTTCAAATTAGACTCAGCCCAGACATTTTATATATTACTTTGTGTGAATTTGCTCATTTTGCACCAAAGTCAGAATAAAGACTAAAGAGAATATTTTGCATTTCATTAGTTTTGCTGGAGCCCACAGCACTACTGACATGAATGAATCCTCTGTGTCAAGAAATATATTTATTACGAGAAATAGAATCTTCTGTGGAAGCAGCTTTAGAATTTGTGATCATTTGCATATAAAATGATATGTAGCAAAGTACCCTCATACATATCTCTGAGTCCAGCAGCTCCAAACAATGAGAGATTTGGGATACTGGAGCTCGTGGAGAATTGTGCCCTGGGGTTAAGATGATCCTGAATGCATTCACCGCATGACACACAATTATTTCCATTAAGGGATTTTAAAGTGATTCCAATGGCCAGTTGCAACTGCAACTGCTGTCTGCATTTAGGACACATCACATCATTAATAATCCATGGAAGTCTGGAGCTGCTTTGTGGGATCCAATGACCCTGTCTTAGTCCTCAGCTTTACCGTGACATCCAGAATATGAATTAAAACAAGTAATTAGGAGCAAGGCTGTCCAGCTGCCAGCCAGCAGCCACTGCTTGGAGAGCCTGGGATACACACCACGGCCACAGTGGCATGTTCAGGGAGCTGGTTGGTCATCAGCTCTTCCTACTAGGTGCAAGTCTGTGGAGCAGGATGGGCCTCAGCTGGAATTGCTTATGTGGCCACCAAAAATAAACCACACATACACTAAAGTCAGTGGAGTCTGTAATTCAGCAGGGGCTGATTAGCTGGAGCTGCTGCTGGTGCTAATGGAGTTGTGTTATTCATGGAATCCTTGAATCCGAGACTGGTTTGGCTTGGGGGTGACTTCAAAGACCATTCAGTTCCACCCTCTGCCATGGGCAGGGACACCTTCCACTAGACCAGGTTGCTCCAAGCCCTGTCCAACCTGGCCGTGGACACTTCCAGGAATGGGGCAGCCACAGCTTCTCTGGGCAGCCTGTGCCAGGGCCTCACCACCCTCATAGGAAGAATATCCCATCTATTCCTGTCCTCTGGCAGTGGGAAGCCATTCCCCCTTGTCCTGTCCCTGCAGGCCCTTGTCCCAAGTCCCTCTCCAGCTCTCTTGGAGCCCCTTTAGGCACTGGAAGGGGCTCTGAGGTCCCCCTGGAGCCTTCTTCAGGTGAACACCCCCAGCTCTCCCAGCCTGTCTCCAGAGCAGAGGGGCTCAGGCCCTTGGAGCAGCACCGTGGCCTCCTCTGGACCTGCTCTAACAGGTCCATGTCTTTCAATTCTTTCTATTCCCTTACTCAGACTGGGTCAGGCAACTGCATTTCCCTTTGCAGGTCTGGACAATGGTCTGTCCATTCCTGTTCTGCTGCTCCTCCCGTCCTCCGTGACAGTGACGTCCCTGTGTTCTGTGGCAGTGTGAGACCACTCAGCCACTCAGCCTGTGTTTTGTGGCAGTGTGAGGGCCACGGTGGTGCTGAGTGGTGCAGGCTCTCCAGACTGGGCCAGATTGCAGCCTGATTGCTCACATTAAAAAAAAAAAAAAAAATGAGTAAAGCTTTTAAAAGGATCATCAAGCTATTTTGGGAAGTCATGCTGTTACATTTTTTATGAATTACTTTTTCCCCCCTAAAATTTGGTTTAAAATTAAATGAACACACAAAATAACAGGAGCCTACAGCTGAGGAGGTTGAACAAACAAACAAAAAAAGATATATGTGGGTAGGACATTCATTTATCTCTAAGCAGCATTTGTTAGATTGGGATAACTTACAGATATTAAAACCAGATCATGTGATCTCATTCACTCTCTTAATTTTATTAGAGCCTACAGTGACAGGACAAGGGGAAATGGCTTCCCACTGCCAGAGGACAGGGTTAGATGGGATATTGGGAAGGAATTCTTGGCTGTGAGGGTGGTGAGGCCCTGGCACAGGTTTCCCAGAAAAGCTGTGGTTGCCCCATCCCTGGAAGTGTCCGGGGCCAGGTTGGGTGGGACTTGGAGCAACCTGGTCTAGTGGAAGGTGTCCCTGCCTGTCATGGCAGGGGTTGGATCTGGGTGACCTTCAAGGTCCCTCCCAACTCAAACCATTCTGTGATTCCATGATTAAATGAGCTGAGAAGGCACCAAGAAGTGATGTCCTCTGCAGAGGGTCCAGTCCTGCAGTCACTGGGCACAGCTTTGGATCCATGTGAAGGTCAAAGATGACAAACAGTGGTTTTATTATTGGCCCCATCACATAAACAGGGAGGATCATGGTGCCCTTTTGGGACAAGTTCTACCTAAGGGCTGAGGGGTGTTGCTGCCACCACCAGGGACACTTGATTTAACAAATCAGAGATTTCTGTCCAAGAATGTCCATTTTACACTGCCTTAATGTTAGTCATTGCTAAGGAGATTATGTAGAGAAAAGTCCTTCAGTGGTTCAGCAAAAACACGCAAGGGAAACACCCACTGATGTCAGCCAGGCTGTTGCTGTGAATAATGGCTTCTTTCTTAATTGCAGTGCTGCAGATACACTGGTAGTTCTGATTTCAGAGGGTTTTAATTAAGCCAAGGCAAAAGTAACTAATGCCTACAGGCCTTGTCCCTCTGAAGGTCCTCAGGGATGCAAAGGTGCAAAGAGATTATTGTAGCCTTTTCTACGAGTCCATGAAAAATTATTTGTATGGAAGTAATGAGCAACTGTATCTCCACTTTAATGCAGCAAATAAATCAGCTGTAAGGGCAGTAAATAACATATGCGGAGATATTTATTTATTTATTTATTTATTTATTTAGTAAACACATCTCCACAGCCAAGTTTGTGCCTATTTCGTGTGGACTAATATTGTTATTATCTCTGAGAATGGCAAGAAGAATATGGCCTGTGCTTTGTATGTTATTCTCTACATATTTGTAAAGGACAAACCTTTAATAAATCAGTGTCACGAATTTGTTACTGGGTTAGTGCTCTAAGAGCAGGGGATGTTGACACTAATAATTACCAACATAGGGAATGGGAAAATACAAACTTTTTAAGCTTTAATGAGGAAAAATGTGTTGTTGGGATACGTATATTTCCCTTAAAATAGGTAATAAAAATTAATTGGGATTTAGCCATGAACAGAACCTGGTGCCCTTCAGGCATGGAGAATCACAGAACCATTTAGGTTGGAAAGCCTTCTTAGACTAGTAAGGCCAACCATCCCCAGCACTGCCAAAGCCACCACTGACCCACGTGCCCAAGTGCCACATCCTCACATAGAGACACATTCCTGGACATGTGCTGTGTCCCCAGGCCATGCACCATGAAAATGGCTACAAGGAAAGCAGCCTGGTCTTAAACAATCATAGAATATGCCCAGATAGAAGGGACCCATCAGGATCATCGCGTCCAACTCCTGGCTTGGCACAGGACACCCCAAAAATCACACCAAGTGTCCCAGCAGGGCTCAGTGGCAGGTTCAGTCTTTCAGAGATGAACCAGAGGTTATGTCACTGTTTTGCTTTGGCTTTTGGGTCCCAAAATACAAGACCCCCAGCAGGAACACCTGGGTTTGAACTGGCATGTGGAGCCACTTAGTGAGCAAAGCCAAGGGTTGATTTTGGGGGCTGTGACCAGTGCTTGTGCTGCAAACAGTGTTGGCTCATTTTGCCTTGATTTGTTACAGACAAGCAGAATGATGTGGAGATTCCCTCTCCCACCCAGAAAGACAGAGAGAAGAAGAAAAAACAGCAGCTCATGACACAGATCAGCGGAGTGAAAAAATTAATGCATAGTTCAAGCTTAAATAACACCAGCATTTCACGGTTTGGCGTGAAAACTGAAAAGGAAGATCATCTGGCCAAGGTATGACAGATTCTTGCCATTTTGGGGGAAGCTGGAAGCTGGGAAAGGACTGGATGAATGATTGCCCCCCTTGTAAAACTGTAATCAGTAATCCTGAAGTGATGTGGCCATTAAAAATGTTGTAATTAATGGTAGCAGGCCCTAACAGCATATTCTATGTTTATAAATACTTATAATTATCCCTAAAATAATAAGAAGAAAAGTGATGAAGGCTGAGGAGAGCAATTATCAAACACAAAATCAGCCCTTCACAGTTACTCTGCGTTCCTGTACTTTATTAAGTACACATATTCATGCACTTACATGATTACAATAATTATTAAATTTGCATATTTTGGAACTTTTGGGGAAGTTCAAAGATAGAACTTCACACCAGAAGACGTGGTGCAAGTGAGAAATGCAGAATTGTGTGGAAAAATAATGTAACTATTCTTTTTTTGTCCTCTCAAAAGGAACTGGAAGATCTGAATAAATGGGGTCTGAACATATTTAACGTGGCCAGGTATTCCCACAACAGGCCCCTCACCTGCATCATGTACGCCATATTCCAGGTTTGTAACTTCTTGCCCAAATTTACTATTCTTTTATGGCAGTACTTAAATTTCTTATTGCTTTCAGATTTGTTGTCTTCTCCAGCATGACCTTCTTACTTGATACATGCCTGTATGTTTGTATCTTTTATTACACAGGAGCGAGATCTCCTGAAAACATTCAAGATCTCCTCGGACACGTTCGTGACGTACATGATGACACTGGAAGATCACTACCACTCGGATGTGGCCTACCACAACAGCCTCCACGCTGCTGATGTTGCCCAGTCCACCCATGTTCTGCTCTCTACCCCTGCCCTGGATGTGAGTTACCTTGTTTGAGCTGAGTTGTGCTGGGCAGGGTTGTGTTTGAAGGTGGGAGGGGCACCTGCTGCTCTTCCAAGGGCTCAGTTTGCTGCCAAGGGCTCCTTCAGACACTGGTCTATGCTCTGTGGGGACCAGGGACAGGATCCCAGGAAATGGCCTGAAGTTGTGTCAGGGCAGGGTTAGGTTGGATCTTAGAAAAAGGTTCTTCCCCCAGAGGGTGGTTGGGCACTGAACAGGCTCCCCAGGGCAGTGGTCACAGCAGCAAGGCTGACAGAGCTCCAGGAGTGTTTGGATGATCCTCAGGGGCACACGGTATGACTCTTGGGAGTGGGTCTTTGCAGGGCTGAGGGTTGGACTGGATGATCCTTGTGGGTCCCTTCCAACTCAGTATATCCTCTGGTTCTGTGATTAAGAAATCTCAGCAGCAGCCCTGCCTGAAATCGCTGTTTCATCTTCAAGAGCACAAGCTGCTTGCAGACCTTTCTTATGAGTCAGTGGCTTGTCCTCAGAAAACTAATTTTAAAAAGCACAATTTGTTTCTCTAAATCAGCCTCCCAAACTGTTGAGGGATAAAACCTAAGGACCTCTCTGACAAATTCCTTCTTTCCTTTATAGGCTGTCTTCACAGATTTGGAAATCCTCGCTGCAATTTTTGCAGCTGCAATTCATGATGTGGATCACCCTGGGGTCTCCAATCAATTTCTTATTAATACAAGTGAGTTTTGTTTGGAATACAATCATAACTTCATCCACAAATTTGGAAACTTGTGGAAATGCTTTTTCCATTACATAAATGATGACTTGCAGACTGAATTGCCTTCTCAAAATATTGTGCAGTAAATGAGGGAGACATTTGGAAATAAAGCAATAATTAAAATGAAATTCCTAACAAAGGGAGCTATTGTAGTACAATTTGTAAAGTATCCTTGTGAATATTACTACTCGCTAACATGTAATAATTCTTCCAGTCCCGAGTGCAAATTTTACCATTACTATAAGAGAAATAATGCTATTGCTATTGACAACCATAAAGCTAAATATTGTGGCTCATATTGTGTTCTGCAACAGGCTGAGCATGTATCTTGATTCCAAAATATGGGTATTGTTCTGTTTTGGAAAGAGTGTTTGCAGGATTCTGTTGTCAGTGACTCTGAAGCCGTATCTAAGTCAACTGAGTATTATTTTGTTCACTAAGACTGAGCAAAGGCTGTTTGTATTATAAACATACATTCTGGGATTATCAAACCGCAGGCTCTTGTCACTCATGGAGCAAAAAACAATCACAGAATCCTGGAATTATTTCCTTTCACTGCCTGCCATGGGCAGGGACACCTCCCACTACCCCAAGTTGCTCCAACCCCCGTCCAACCCAGCCTTGAACACTTCCAGGGGTGGGACATCCACAACCTTCCTGGGCAAGGAAACCCTCCCTGATTTATTGCACACAGATGAAACATTGCAGTGCCTAGGACAAGTGTTTGCTGTTTGAAGTCACCCATTTCACATGCTGGAGTCACATATCTGTGTTTCTTTGCTAGATTCCGAGCTGGCCCTGATGTACAATGACGAGTCCGTCCTGGAGAACCACCACCTTGCTGTGGGTTTCAAACTGCTTCAGGAGGAGCACTGTGACATCTTCCAGAACCTGACCAAGAAGCAGCGTCAGACGCTCAGGAAGATGGTGATTGACATGGTATGAGCTGTGCACACTCTGCTCCTCTCCCTAACCCAAAAACTGGCTTACTTGTGTGGCTGCCCCTGCTGACATCCTGTTTTTTCCGCCTCTGTGAAGGTGTTGGCTACTGATATGTCCAAGCATATGAGTCTGTTAGCTGATCTGAAGACTATGGTGGAAACTAAGAAGGTGACCAGTTCAGGAGTTCTCCTTCTGGACAACTACACAGACAGAATACAGGTATGGCAGCCAAATTTCCTGGATTTTGTGTATTTTGTTCAGGATGAAGAAACCACATTCCTGTTTTTATTGTGGCTGCTAAATTGAACATATATAGAAGCTACTGACCTAAATTTTCAGCAGTCATTTTCTTCTGTAATAAGAATGGGTGCAAGGTGGTCCCATATATTTTAGGTGAAGGGGATTATGGTTTTTGTAACACTAAGAGTATCTAAGTTCAAACATGCACATTCTTCTGAGGTTAGTCCATAAGGCTGAGGTTTTGAGGGCCCTCAAATTTCTGTGCTGCTTTCTCCCATTTGTTTCTTCTGCTATAGCATTGCAATAATTGTAATTTATGGCTCCATACCTAGAAGCAACTCCCAGTGAGCTAAAATTAGTGATGTGCAGTCTGTCCCCTATATAAATTCTTGATTTACAGAAATGACAAAGCAGTGCTGGAACAGGGTTACATAGTAAGCAGGACAAGATACATTCCGATCTGCTCTGCACTTTGATGACCAACTTAAGTACAGGCTCATGGGAAAAACTCCTTCAGTTTTTATTTAAGATTGATGATGTTAAGACAGGTCACTTTGCTGCTGTCTCAGTCCTTCTGGCCAGTTAGTCAGGCACATCTTGTGTGTGTCTGGAAGGGATATTACTCATTTAATAGTAGGAGCATTTAACCTACTTCCATGAGAGCATGGAAATGAATTTTGAATGGTGGGAAGCACCTGCATTCAAAAACAAACCTGTGTGATGTCATTAACATTGTCACAACTGCACCCCTTGTAAGTCTTGAGTTGTCTGAACACCAGAGAGCATGTGTTGCCTCTGAAGGGACTGTGGCTGCTGGGCTCATCTGTGGATATATACAATCAGAGAATCACAGTCTGGTTTAGGTTGGGTGTGACTTAAAAGCTCATTTAGTCCAACCCCTGCCATAAGCAGGGACACCTTCCACTAGAACAGGTTGCTCTAAGCCCTGTCCAACCTGGCCTCAGACACTTCCAGGGATGAGGCAGCCACAGCTTCTCTGGGCAGCCTGTGCCAGGGCCTCACCACCCTCACAGCCAAGAATTCCTTCCCACTGTTCCATCAAACCCTGCCCTCTGGCAGTGGGAAGCCATTGCCCTTTGTCCTATCCCTCCAGGCCTTTGTCCCAAGTACCTCTCCATCTCTCTTGGAACCCCTTTGGGCACTGGAAGGGGCTCTAAGGTGTCCTAGAGCCTTTTCTTCCCCAGGTGAACACCCCCAACTCTCCCAGCCTGTCTCCAGAGCAGAGGGGCTCCAGCCCTTGGAGCATCTCTGTGGCCTCCTCTGGACTCACTCCAACAGGTCCACGTCTTTAACGTGGTATGATGGAACAATGTTAATATTTTTATGGGCTGTTTCATAATCAAGGAGTCTTGTGGTCAAATGTTCTGCAATAAGTGAGCAGATACAGCTTGAAACCATCTCCTTTTTCCATTTGATTTTATGCGTTTTCTTATTAATGTAATTGCAGGTTCTCCGAAATATGGTACATTGTGCAGACCTGAGTAATCCCACAAAGTCTCTGGAGCTGTACCGGCAGTGGACAGACAGGATCATGGAAGAGTTCTTCCAGCAGGGAGACAAGGAGAGAGAGAGAGGAATGGAAATCAGCCCGATGTGTGACAAACACACCGCTTCGGTGGAGAAATCACAGGTGATTGACCCTAAGCTGCAGTTCTTTCTGCCTGAGCTTGTAGTTTTAAAGCAGAGACAAAATTCATCTGCTCTCTCCAGCACAATTAGGCAATGAGCCAACTGTTCAGAGGGTTGGTTCTGATCGACCCTGACATCCAGCTGTGCCTGGAGCTCACACAGACTGATGAGGCTGCTCAGGCTCCTCTCTGTGCCCCTCGGCGTCTCCTCATTTCCAAACGCGTGTTCATCTTGCCCTGTTCGTGTCCCAGTTTCCAGGAGGAGTTGGTTTCCTTTTGTTCCCTAGTCTTGAAAAGCGCAATTCTGCTCTCCACATCCTCCTGCTGGGTCTTTCCTGCTTTCACAGCCTCTGTTAATTAGCACCTCCTAAACGTACTGACATTGTACCCTGGGTTAGACATTTATAGCAGTGCCAGCCCCATTGAACTGCAGGGTTAGGAGCTTCTCCCAGCTGAGATCCACTTCAGGACACTGGACAATATTCAGGACAGTTTTGTAGTGCATGATCCATCTGGTGAAGTTAGAGGACTGCTGGAACTGCTGTGTGCAGGGTGAAGGCACAGAAATAGTCATTTATGTCAATACAAACCTTAAAAGGAGCTGGATTTGCCCCATTTTTTGAGATGAACTGGCTCATCCCTTGTTCTGATTCATAAATTAAATGGCTTCAAGCTCAGATTTTGTTCTGACCTTTGTAGTACAGGCCATAAAATTTCACCCAGATAGTCTGTAATGAAACCAGTAATTTATGTTTGCCTAAACATATTCCAACTTTTATATAATGGTGTCTTGGTTGTTGTTTTTGAATGACTAGAGCAAGTCATCACTGAGGTTTTTCAGCTTGAATAAGTAACAAAATCGATGATAATTATTTCCAAATGTCCTCTCAGGCTAAGCCAAGTGGTTTCAAAATTATTCACTCAACCGCATGGTGATTTTGTTGGAAAAATCTGTCTTATTTGTTAACCTAACAAGAAATGAGTCCTTCAGCCAGGCTCAGCCAGAAAATGCCCATGTGCTCTGCATGTGAGCTCCAATTCATTATTTGTTTCACATATGCACTTCACGGAGGCTTCAAAATGGCATTTTTGCTATGCAAAAGGGACAGGAATTGCTCAAAATGGCCCTCATGGAAATCCCAAAGGAGAAAGGGAGGTGGCATGTTTGTGCTGGAGGAAAGAAGGCGTTGACTGGAAAAGAGTATGCGAGTATTGCAAAGCTTGAGATGTCACCTCTTTACATCAAAATTTTTTAGGATCAGTGCTGAGCCGTGTGGTTATTCCATGTTATTCCAGTTTTTCCATGATCTGGAATGTTTATAAAGAAACAATAACAATGAGTGCCAATCTTTGCCCATTGCTGCTGTAGAGCCCTTGAGCATTTTGGGTGGCAGCAAAGCCATGAGCTAACCATAGAGAATCCTTTTTTTTCCCCCCTTTAAAAGTGCTCCGGAACATGTGCTGCAGGAAATTTTCATCACCTTTTTGTTTGAGCTGCCTCAACTGTATGTTACAATTGAATGTTAATGGTTCTATTGACATCCTGTTGTGTCTGAAGGAGCCATGTGTGATTTCCAAAGCAAACATCTGCATGTTGGGGCTGGCTCCTCGGAGAGCCATTTTCCTGCTGCACAGAAACCTTGTCCAGCAGAGCGAGGAGAAGTGACACATTCTGCCAAGAGGGAAGAATTTCAATCCTCTTTATGGCCATTCAGTTTTCTCCATCCTGGACGTACGTCCTCTCTTAGTCAGACAATTGAAGGATGATTTAGCTCAGAGCTTACGCCGGCGGAAGGACTGACGGACTCAGCCACAGCCCTCACTCTTTCCATCGCTGACACGTCACTCCAGGGGGGTCGGACAGCAGTGGCCTGTCCTCTTCATGCAGGAGGAGGATTCTTGGGATGAGCTGACCTGCTTTCTGGGTTCTTTCCAAAGCAAAATGAAAGGAAAGAGAGTCTCTGGCTGGGCCAGCTCCTCAGAGAAACGCAGTAGCTGCTTTGGCAGAGTGGAGGAGAAAAACTGAAATGTTTGAAGCTGGAGGAGCATTAAACAGTTCAGAATAGGCACAAACTACACACTGTAGTAAAATACACCTAGAGCTTGAACTGCAGTCCATAAGGCAGGGACATTCGGTCTTAGGATGGCTGCTTGCCTTGGGAGCACTGGTGTATTCCCATCTCTCAGCCAAGCGTGTACCCTGGGTAAGGGCACAGAGACCATAAATGCACCAGCCTTGTCACCAGGGAATTCTGAGAGGAGCAGGGATATTTAGAATCCCACATGCTGCCAGGGATGGAATTGACAGTTCTGTCTCTTGAATTTCCTGTTGGCTCCTGCTTTTAGTTAAACTTCAATCTAAGGTTTGATTTTGGACAGCAACCTAACCCAAGGTTGTAGGTGGAGTTCTGGGTATCAGATGATTTTGTCCGTGATTATGCTGTGCTGGTTTGGAGACTTGCTCTGGGGTGGGTATTTTGCTTGTAAAAATCAGGTATTACCATAAATTGAACTTTTTAGACACCTACCTTCTCCTAGTCATTCCTTTCCCCTAAGTGTGAGTGTTCCTGTGTTCCCAGGTGGGATTCATTGACTACATCGTCCATCCACTCTGGGAGACATGGGCTGACCTGGTGCAGCCCGATGCCCAGGACATCCTGGACACGCTGGAGGACAACAGGAACTGGTACCAGAGCATGATACCTCAGAGCCCGTCCCCTCCCCTGGAGGAGCGGGGCCAGGACTGCCAGGGCCTCATGGAGAAGTTCCAGTTTGAACTGACACTGGAGGAGGAGGACTCGGATGGGCCAGAGAAGGACGGCGAGAGCATCGGCTACTTCAGCAATACACAGACACTCTGCGTGGCCGAGCCGGGGGAGGAGGAGCCCCAGAGGGAAGCAAACATAGAGATTGTGACAGAAGACACATCTCCTGTCGACACATAATGTCCTGGACCCATGTGAGTGGATTTTAACACTTAAGGAGCATGCAAGCAGTCTCACGGACAGCCTGCAGCGGGGTCTGAGGCCTCTGTCCCACAGTGGCTTAAAGACCCTCCCAGCTACTTGAGATTGGAGTCAGGGTTAAAGATCGTGTAGTGAATGATTGCTCAGGAAATTACCAGGTGATTTACGTTGCGGTTTGAGCCTTGTCAGCCAAGAGCATCATGTTGTCCTGGAGCTGGCTTGGGTCGGGACTGAGGCGTCAATGACACACAACTGAGAGATTTTATACTGTTAGTTTTGGAATTTATACCAGTTAGACTGATAGAAACTACTGATTAATAACTCTCCATATAAAACCTGTCCACCCAACCACCTGTCTGCAGACCTGTGTGCCTTCTTTGTAAACACTTTCATGTCTTTTCAAGAGTCTCTTAATTAAATACACAGAGTTTAGTATTCAAAAGCGACACAAAGTGTTTCAGAATTGACGGATACTTTTTTGATTCTTCCTGTTACAAGAAGCAGTCTTCCTTTTTTTCATGGGCAATACCTGTCACTTTATTGCAGTTAATCACTTTGACAGACTAAACAGAAGGGGAAACCCTCTGGTTTGCATTACTGCACCTTTAATCGTCTTCTTAATACCCCTGGTGACCTGTTTTAAGTCACTTCATGCCATCATGCACCGTCTCTGTTCTCTTGCTTGGAACAACAGTATTTTTTCCTCACAGGGTTTGGTTTTGTGGTGAGCAGGACAGAGGACAGGTTGTTTCCATGGCACAGTGCAGTACACACATGAGTAAGGCAGTGTGTGACACATGTTCCCCCTCGGCAGCTCCTTGGAATTTGCACGCTCGGATATTTGTGTTTCTCTCGCCTCTCGTCCACGTTTCCTAGGTTTAGGCCCACCATCCTCCTCCTGCACTGCCTCGAGCTCTAACACCTCCATTACTGTTTATAACAGTGTATTTATTATGTAATGTATATACTGTAATGTTTTGTAAGTTATTAATTTATATGAATTAGCATTGCCTGTCGGCGGCGATGTTAACGGTGTAGAAAACTCGGAATAAGAGTTGCCTTTTTTTCTTGTAACCTTTTGTATTGCATAAAGTACAAGAACCTGAACATAGCTGGAGAGACAGACGCAACCCAGGAAGGGCATTCGGGTGGCAGCCGCCCGTGGGAGGGGTGACACCAGACCCCAGGGCAGTTGGGAGTGAACAGAGAGACGGGGAAGCGAACAAAGAAACCCCCCCCGAGAACGGGCTGGCTTTTAAATGTCACGTTCCAATTTCTGAACAACCCAATGTGAATTTCTATGACAAAAATGTGAACTGATGTAATAATTGTGCTGTGAAACTTCCTCTGACAAAGCTTGTCCGGCATCGTGAGCGGTGTCAATCTCAGTTTGTAAAATATGTTTCAAGCTTTTTGGTCCAACTTGTGACTAACTAGTTAATGACAATAGCACAGTTGTGCATGATCAATGGGTTTGTTTGTCTGTTGAACACTGCATTGTTCCAGGTGGTTATTTTATTGTTTCCAAAAGTTTCACACAATGTATGTTATAGTATTATATATTGTGTTCAGATGCATTCTTAAGAGATTTTTATATGAAGTGAATAAATGAAAGCATGACCCTGCCTGTGGCTCTTCATGATGCTTTTGTCAACAAGTCAGCGTGAGCTGTGTCACCACCACTTGGGGGACAGCAAAATGGAACCCTCCAAGCCCAGAACATGCCCATGCCCCAAATCCAGAACATGCCTGTGTCTGAAACCCAGAACCATCCCTTGGGCAAAACCCAGAACCATCCCATAGCCAAAACCCAGGACCTCCCACAGCTGAAACCCAGAACCTCCTACAGCCAAAACTCAGGACCTTCCCACAGTCAACCCCAAAATTGTCCCATAGCCAAAACCAGAACTTTCCACAACTGAAACCCAGAAGTGTCCTGTGCCCAAAACCCAGAATCTTCCTACAGCCAAAACCCAGAACCATCCTGTGGCTCAAATACCAAAACCCAGAACCCTCCTACAGCCAAACCCCAGAACCATCCTGTGGCTCAAACACAGGATCCTCCCACAGCCAAAGCTAGAACCCTCACATGGCCAACACCCAGAACCTCCCACAGCCCAATCCCAGTGGACACGGAGGAGCCCTTGCCTTACGCACAGGAAGAGGAGGGTTCCTGTGTCCGGAGGGCACGGCCACCCTCCATGGTGGGCTGGGGCCCGTGGCCTTCCTGGCGGGGCCGGTGTGGCGGCGACAGGAAGTCGCGCACAGACAGGAAGCGATGGCTGCGCACCAGGACGGCCCCCAGGCCACTTTCATGTCCTGGCCTGACCCAAAACAACCAACTTTCCAGTAAAAAAACATCCTGCTGACAGGCACTTGAGGGGACACGGGGACTCTGCTGCCCTCGCTGTGGCAAGGCCGGCGGTGCTCCTACTGTGGCATCGTGTGAGCCTCCACAAGCTTCTCCTGGATTCGCTGGCTCCAGAGTGAAGCCACATGAAAGCAAGTGTGGATCCCTCATCCCACATCTGTTTTCCCACCCAGCACTCCATGGCAGCAGCAACTGCCAGCCCACCTTCCTGAAAATCCCTCCTATCCCAGCGGAAGGGGCTTCAGCCTCAGCTCACCCTGGGCTTGGCGGCCGATGCCAGCACCTCTCAGGGGATTCTCCCAGCACCATGCCAGGAGGTTAATAGTACTTTCTCTCCCAATGAATTCATGGAATCCCAGAATGGTTGGGGTTGGAAGGGACCTAAAAACTCATCAGTTCCACCTCCTGCCATGGACACCTCCCACTGCCCCAGGTTGCTCCAAGCCCCGTCCACCTGGCCTTGGACACTTCCAGGCATGAGGCAGCCACAGCTTCTCTGGGCAACCTGTGCCAGGGCCTCCCTACCCTCACAGGGAAGAATTTCCTCCTAATCTCTAATTCAAATCTCTCCTCTTTTAGTTTAAAACCATTCCCCTCTTCACATCCTTTCCATGCTCCTTTGCTGTGCTGGCTGTGTCCTGCTGTGGCCAGCACTGTACCCACAGCTCCCGGCAATGTGCAGAGATGGGAAACGGGTTATTGGGCTGGAAAAACATTGGCAGTTCTGGGTGGGGAAGGTGCCTAAGCAGGATAGACAGCAGAGCTGGGGCTGCAGGTGAAGCACCCGCTCTGCATCCAGAGGTGTGTTAGGGGAGATGATGTGCCCGGTGGTGTCCGTGGCTGCAGGGCTAGCATGGGGGTTCTGCCCTGGCCCACTCCCCTCTGCCCACACCCCCTCCCCTCCAGCCTTCCCTTACTTTATTCCTGTCCGTTTTCCATGACCTAGTTCTGCCAGGCAGTAGCTTCCTCATGAACAGGGGAATGCAGCAGCACAGTTCTGGTGCTGCGAGCAGACGCCTTTCCCTGCTCCTTCCCAGCAGCAGCAGAAAAATGCTCCTGTGGCCTTTATGCTGCAAAACCAACCCAGATTCCTTCTGTTTCCCTTCCATTTTTGGTGTGGGAAATCCCGGTTCAGGTAGGAGGTGGTTTGCTGGCTCAGTTTCCTCAGTTCCTGGGGGGATGATGATGATGCCTTGGCTCTGCTTCCCCATCCTCACATCCAGAGCTCCTGTGGGGTTTGCATGGTTTTGCTCAGCATGGGAAGCACGTCGGTGTGGAGGCAGCAATGCTGTGCTCCCTCCTTGCTCCAGAGTGGCCTGGATAGACAGGGCTGATGGATCCTGCTCCCCCTCCCTGGTGGTCTCCCCAGTCACTTCCAGCAACCCCCCAGCAGGTCCTGGAGGGGCTGAGGTGCGCGGGGTGGATGGTGTGGAGGGGCTCAGGACCTCCAGCCTCCCTGGACACAGATGCACACCCTGTCCCCTCCATGCTGCCAGTGTCAATGACGGATGTTCCCCACAGCCCCCGAGTGGCAGCTGTCCTTGTCCCCAAGGACATAGTTTCCTGCTGAGGCCATGGAGCTGGGATTTCAGGGGGATTTCCACCACCCACAGGCGTCAATCCTGGGGATGAGCACTGGGAGCAGAGCGGGTCCTTTCCAGCTGCCCAGGGCGTGGGGACAAGGGTCCCGCAGAGCCCCCGGCGCTGCCAGGAAACTTCTGACCTGGAGGTCGGAGTTGTTCATGGAAACCATGATGCAGAGAAATAAAATAATAAACCAGCCTTGTTGCTGTTTCCCATGGAGCACAGGCTGCACTACTGGAGGTGGGGCTGGATTTCCACGGGCTTTTTCCCCCCAGTCCATAGGAATTAGGGATGAGTGTGGGTGTTCCCACCTGCCCAGTGATGTAAGACAGAGCTGGAACAAAGGACAAGTGACAAGACAAGAGGAAATGGCCTCAAGTTGCACTGGGGAGGTTTAGTTTGGATAATAGGGAAAATTTCTCCATGAAAAGGACTGTCCAGAACAGTGATGGAGTCCCCCATCCCTGGAGGGCTTTAAAAGCCGTGTGGATACGGCACTTGAGGACATGGGGTAGTGGTGGCCTTGGCAGTGCTGGGGGGGAATGACTGGATTTGATGGACTCAGAGGGCTTTTCCTACCTAAACAATTCAGTGATTCTATGATTCTCTGCCCGTGGTCCACAGCCCCATGTCCCTCTGTGTGCCAGCCAGCAGGACAGAGCATTTCCCAGGTTATAAATCCAACCGTAAGGATTTGCAAAGTGCCGGAAGTGGTTTGCTCACCGAGGATATTTGGGTACCACTGGTGCAGAGTTCGCCTAAAGGTCCTACAGATGAAAAAAGAGAAATGAAAATGCAAAGCACTGACAGTTTTGCAGTCAAAAACAGGAAGGAGCTGGGGGCTGGTGCACAAAGAGCAGATTTTATCGGGTCTGCGGCGCTGGAACGGAGCCAAGTTCTCCCAGCACCGGCACCTTCGTGTGAAGCCTGGAGCTGGGACTGGCACGGGGACAGCAGTGGGACCCAGGGCTGGCCACAAAGGACAGGGCAGGTTGTGGTCCAGCTGATATGGTTCAAGATGTGTTTAGGTGTTTTAGCTCTCCCAAATATCCCTTTTGGGATGAAACAAGGAGCCCAATCCCAAGGTCTCCCAGTTCCCAAGGGCTCCCTGTCCCCAGGGTCTCCCAGTTCCCAAGGGCTCCCTGTCCCCAGGGTCTCCCTGTCCCCAAGGGCTTCCTGTCCTCAGGTGCTCCCTTCCCCAGAGGCACCCTAAGCCCTGCTCTTGCTGCATGGTTTTTGCTCTGTGGGGGGTATTTCTGTCATCTCTGTCTGATGCTGCCACCGATTCTCTCACTGCAGTGCTGAGGACATTTGGGATCACAGAGCTCTGGCTCACAAGGGACTGTGGGATGACCCCCCTCTTGCGGGGGCAGGATGGGCTCTGCAGCCTCCATATCAGTCCAGAGTGGGGTCTCCTGGGACACTCCTCGGTGTTATGGGGTTGCCCATGCTGTGACTTACTGCTGGGAGCACTGGGATTCACATGCTGGGAACTGGGCAGAACTTGTCCTGGTGGCACAGTCATGCAAGAGGGGCCAAACGCTCCCCTTGCTCCTGACCGCTGGTGCAGCTGTGGTTTGGCACTGTTTTGGGGGCTGCAGGGGTGCTGGGGCAGGGACGACACATGGGGGACAGCAGGACCAGCTGTGCATGTGCTGCCTGCACATCTGTACAGCCCCGTCCTGCCCGTACACATCTGTACAGCCCCATCCTGTCCATGCACAGCTGCACAGCTCCATCTGCTGAGCTCCCGACCGCTGCACAGCGCAGAGCACCGGGAAACTCCACCGCCGGGATATGCACGGCGGGAATGGGGAGTGTCTGCTGTAGGGACATGCCCTGCAAGGACACACAGAGCAGGGACATGCTCTGCAGGGACACACACGCGGTCGGGGTGCGGCTCACCTGGCGCCATGCACAACTGGAGCCCCCAGACAGCTGGAACGGTTTGTGGTGGGGCCCAAACAGCTGGAGACGTGTCCAGCTGCAGTCCCACACAGCCAGGGTTGTGCAAGCCAGGGTTGTGCACAGCTGGAATGGTGCACAGCTGGAGTTCTGCACAGCTGGGTGCTGAGCACAGATGGTGCTTGTGCACAGCTGGATCCCCACATAAGTGAGTGCCTGCACAGCTGGAGCTGTGCAGAGCTGGATTCTTGCATATTAAAACCATTCATGGCTGGATTCCTGCACAACTGGAACCCTGCACAGCCAGAGGCAGTGGCTCCAGGACTGTGTTGGGGTGCTCACCTTTGAGAGTCCCTCTGCCTTCACAGAGGTGGGAGAGTTTTGCAGCAGAAGAGTGGGAAGAATATTTCCACTGTTAAAATTATATATTTTTCTCCATAACTTCATTCTCAGCTATTTGGGTTGAAATCTCCCCATTTTCCAAAAAAAAAATCAGTCTGAGGTGGGAAACTGTCAGCAAGAGGCAGCGTGAGGGGTGCTGGCTGGGGAGGGGAGTGGGGTGTGCACCTCGAGGGGGCCTGTGCCAACGAAATCCTGGGCAAACTGCACCCACCCATGTGCAAAACGGGGCTCTCGCCTGTCCTGGGCTGTATTGGACCTGAATTGGGCTGATTTTATTCCCATGAGGATGCAGCCGAGCCCTGGTACTCTCCGGGACAGGAACATATGTGCTCCTGCATGGTCAGAGCAGTCGGGTTTTTAAAC